CATTTGCATGGTAGAAACAGAAGCTGCTCTTCATATTAGTGACAAACAATAACAGTAGCAACAGTTTTTGACAAGTTTAAAGATTCTTTAAAATACATTAAAAATATTTAAAAAATAAACTACAAAATTTAATACGATAAAGTGCAAATTAAAACGTAGCTGTATCTGCAACTGTATTTGATAATGTTTTGAACTTTTAAAATACTGCACGAAAGAACCAGAAGCTGTACTTCATATTAGTGACAAACTTTGGCCTTTTTTTTGGCCTACATACATTTTTGCTTCTACTTTTTTTTTAAAATAAGTTTCCATCTTCGGCAGGTATCTAAGGTTCTTCTTCTACATATTAAAAAAGTTGTTAAATACCTGAGTGGTGCACTACTGCTACTAGTGGTGAGAAAGTGTATTGCACCTCATTCAAAATCAATGCGGTCCCACGGCCTTCTGTGGCCCAAAGTTTAAAACTGTTGTTCTTTTGAGGCCCTCAAGATGGCGCTCGCGGCCCACAGGTTAAGAATCTCTGATCTAGCTCACAAGTAGGGCAGAAAATTTTTCCAAGTCCGCTCTTTGCAACAAGGCTCCATGAAGAACAGAGGAATCTGAGCCTCCTACCTGGGCTTCTCCTGGGCCTCGATCAGCCGGATCACGTCCTCCATCCACAGCATCAGGTCGCGCACCATGCTGAAGAAGCGGAACTTGTCTCCGGTGTCGGCCAGCTTCACTCGCCGACCCTCCGCCGCCTCCAGCAGGTTCTTCCAGGCCTCCAGGACCTGCAGGAGGAGGTGACAGAATCAGCACAGGTCCTGTTATTGATGTCACGGCTGGACGAGCCTCTGAGGTTCACTTACAAAGAAATGATCATTTATTCATTAAACACATTGTCACTGTGCTGCAGAGTGCACCGCAGCAGCAGCAGCAGCTCAGGGGAGAGAAACCAAGAGCACTGAAGCAAATTAAAAACACATTCATTCGTGCAGACTGCAGAAGCTTTAACAGCTGAAGGAAACCAAATTATATCAGTCAACTTGTCTTTTTGCTGTTTTTATTGTCTAAACTGCTGCCTTAGCTGACCAAGACACGTTTCAGGAAATAAAAGAGTAAATACATTGTACTATGTCAATTTAAAAAGAGAACAACTGGACTTGTTTTCAGAGGCTGAAGACAATTTGTTTCCCAAGTGGGAAGCTTCATCAATCCAAACTGTCTGGAGTGTGGAGCTCCAAGCTTTTAATAACTGCATGAGAGGCCTCATTAGTGCTTATGGGACTAAAAACACTGGCCTGTCACAATGAAGACTCGTTAGGCTCTTCAGCCTGGCTCATAGGAGAGATGCTTTGGTCACATGCATGAAGTGGCAATCATAATGGAACTGGCTGGGAATCAGGCTTAATGCTGCATTGGAGGTTTTCAAAAGTTGAAATCTGAGACCTCCTCCTTTGCTTCAAGTGGTTTTTTTTCTCGTTTGATGTAAAAACGAAAAAACTCTTCACGCCATTTTCTGAAAGTCCTTGGGAGAGACCAGCCTCTGTCAGAGGGTCCTGTTAGGTTTGAAATGCACTGGGATCTTTCAGATATACCAGAAACGTATGGAGGGATAATATTTTAGTTTGTTCTCCTCCCTGTTTGATGAAGGCTTTGTTATGATATTGCTCCAAATAAAAATGCTCAAAATTGTGTGAAAAATTTTCCACATAAAGCAAAAGCATTTAGGTGAAACAGGAGTGAAAACAAGGTGTTTATGGGCCACTTCCTGCATGTTTTACTTCCCTGCTCCAAACACCAGATTCAGTGACTGAATTACCTCTTCAAGTTCTGCAGAAGCCCGTTAATCATCCATTCATACAAATCAGGGCCCGTATTTATAAAACTTCTTAGAATTACTCTTAAGAATGCTGCTAAGAGTGGACTTAAGTGTAAAATAATTCTTAGTTAAAAGCTGAGAGTAAAAGTCAGTTATCAAGCGTCTCAGTCTGACTTTAAGTGAAGTGTAGGAGTAATTCTTAAGTGTCAGTCTGACTTTAAGTGAAGGAGTAATTCTTAAGTGTCAGTCTTACTTTAAGTGACGTGTAGGAGTAATT